CTGTCAATTTGTCCTTTTTCTTGCAATTAGACCCAGAGAACACCAGATAAAGCATCTGCTGGAAAATGTACACTTAGAGATGGAGAGATGATGACCCAATGTTTAAGAGTAAATAATGCTCTCAGAGGAACTGAACTCAGTTCTCGGCACCAATGGCAGGCGGCGCACAAACCTCTGTAACTCCAGTTCCAGTGGGACCTGACCAGTTCCAGTCTGGACCTCTTAGAATCTTGAACTCTCATGCACAAACCCAAACACAGACACAGTGACACATGATTAAAAATAAAGTAAGTTGTTTCTTAAAGAATCTGAGTACATTGTTTATGTCAGCTTAGGCATTAGATCTGTGTAAAGTTTTGTCTTAATTAAACAAGACATATCACAAGCTGCTCCCGACATTTGTCACACTGTTATTGCAACTGCACTGCAATGCCTTCTCCAGCAGATTAACCTTTGCTTCCCCACATGACAATTCTTCTCAACTCGTCACCTTCCCTGACACCTTAGAAAAATCTCCTAACATCTACCTTCCTCCCCTGAGTCCAGATACAGTTTTCAGAGAAACTTGGGTTTCCTGTTATGCTGCTCCCCTACTATGAGCCCTTCAACCTTCTTTCTTTAACACAAAAGTGAGAAATACACAATGAGAAATATGACTCATGTTACTGAAGAGAATGGACTTTATTCAACAGAACTCTGGTTTCAAATTCCAGCACAGTGGTCTTATATAGATGGGGCTGAGGGGTACACAGAGTGCTGGTTATCAGGAAAGGGGGCTCAGTGGTACTTGTGGGCTAGAGCGTTGGCCACTCCTGCCACCAACTTCTGCCAGGCAGCCTGCACCTCGGCCGTGAATTCTTTGCCAAAGTAAGAAGAGAGAACAATCACCAGCGTGTTTCCCAGGAGCTATAAGAGAAAACACAAAAATGAGGAAAAAGACAGAAAACGGAATTTACATGAAAAAATAGTATGTTTAAGTTACTTTTTTTGAGGACTCCAATCCTCAACTATCTGTTCACTCTAATGAGGAGGTTCCTTCAGTTTCACTGTTCAAATGCCCTCCTTGCTCCCCATTGAACCTCTTCTGGCCTGCTCCCTTTTGTTTCCACAATCTTCCATTTTTATGCCTCTTATTCCTTTTCTTAGTCACAAATGGCCTGGCTTCAGTAAGTACAGGATTTGAGAGCAGAAACATGCTTACTCGAGTTTAAGTTTGCAATGACGGAGCATTCACTCCTTCTGATATTACTCATTAGGACTCTAATGATTTTTTAAAAGTCCATCACACTGATAAGAAAAATCTGTCTAGTTTTCGTCTCATATCTTTCCTGAAGTGTCAATCATTTAGAATCCACATAAATAATGTATTTCTCCTTCTCTAAAACAAAATGTCAATTTCAAATGCTATTTCTACTTCCACATATATGCTAATTTCCTTTTTCAAAAGTAGGAAGGAATTTATAACCAACTCCAAAATCTATTCCTTTTTGTCCTTCGGTAGGCATTGCATTGAACACTTCATGTATTCTGCCAACTGAGTTACATACTGAGACAATACTGAGTTACATACTGAGATAATACAAGTCTGTCTAAAAAACTTTTCTGAATATTTGCAAATTTATAGAAGAAGTTTCTAGCAATTCACTAACACTAGATCTAGATCCCCATTTGAGATCTGTGCCATTATAATCTCTCTCCTTTTTGATTTTAATTAAATTTGTTCATTTATTTTATATCCTGACCACAGTTTTCTCTCCCTCCTCTCCTCCCATTCTGTCCCCCCCCCCAGCCCCCTGTCCACTCCTGTTTCTATTCAGGAAGGAGTATATCAAGTTGACTTAGGACTTAGCTCCTCCCCTTGTATTAAGGCTGAGGAAGACAACCCAATATGAGGAATAGATTCCTGGAAATAAACAAAAGCAGCAGGTACCAATCACGCTCTTAACTTTTATTCTTTTCCCCATGTCACATTTAAATTGAGCACATGAGCATGTTCTGAACTGACCTTGAAGTTCTCAGGGTCCACGTGAAGCTTGTCACAGTGCAGCTCACTCAGATGAGCAAAGACCTCCTTGAGGTTGTCCATGTTCTTAACCGCCAAGCCTAGGGATGTCAGCACTTTCTTGCCATGGGCTCTGATTCTGGGGTTACCCATGATGGCTTGGGCAGAAGAGAGGTTTCCAAACTTGTCAAAGAATCTCTGAGTCCATGGGTAGACAATCAGGAGCCTGACACACAGGGCAGTAGCAGTTAGAAAGTCAGAACGTGTCACCATCCGCTAGTGGAAACCTGGCTAGTTCTGCCATGCATGACTTCCCCCCTCCATTCCTCCCCTGCCCTGGACTCCCATCCTACCTTCCCAGGGTTTCTCCTCCAGCTTTTTCCACATCTACTTTTTCCCAAATGCTTGTGATAGCAGCCTTCTCTTCAGCTGTGAAGTGAACCATGGTGTCAGGTCGAGAAGCTGGGAGTTGATCTCAGGTGAGTGGAAGGCAGTGTGCTCAAGTGGCTGAAGGCCTGGCCTTTTATTCTTCACTCTGGACCTTGCACCCTTCCCCCTCCCCAGGACTCTGAGGCCATTGGTCAAGAGAGGCTGGGCAAGACAGGGGTGCGGTCCAGAGGAGTCAGGTTTAGATAGCATTTCCAGTAAGATAGTGTCAAGCAGGCCCCTTCCCTCATGGGGGAGACCCTCCTGCTGCTTTTCATAGCTTTACTCTCTCTCCTTCCTTCCTTCCTTCCTTCCTTCCTTCCTTCCTTCCTTCCTTCCTTTTCTTTGGTCCCCTCTCCTTTCAACAGGAGATTTGCAAGGTTATCTTTCACACTCTTCCTTTTCATCTTGAACCTTCCAGGTCAGTAGATTAAAGCTGAAGCAGAGACAAACACGGGGCAGCCCTAGGGAGGATGAGGCTCTTTTATGGCATGGGAATCAGTATCTGAATGGCAGAAATATGCCCCTTACTCATAAGCCATGCAATACAAGGAAGTGCTGTGCAAACCGTTGCGTGCATTTTCTAGAGGTCTAGGCCATGATCTCCCTCTTTCCCCACAGCCTCAGGAAAGTAGTTCCTGAAAAATTTCAGTTTCTGAGTAGGAATAGATTGGTGTGTAGAACAAATATGGTCTCCACATTTGCCTCCATCATACTGTTAAACAGAGCAATCTGCTGTGTGCAAATGATAGCCTTTTATGCCCTAGGAGCACATTCTTCCCCCTGGAAACGTGCAGCTGCCCGGTGCTGCAGGAAGTGGGGTCAGTGCCTTTGTCAGGTTGAGTCCTAGATGGCTGAATGACTGGTATTTCAGGTGCTTCAACCAGACTCTCTCTACACTCTTGTGTATCACAAAATAACTGAAGCATCAGGGATATTTCCATCCAGTAACGTACACACGCAGTGCCACAGCTGGGACAGAATTGCACGTTAGGCACTCCCTCCCTAGTGGTGACGTTCTTTCTTACTTTGTTTTTTCTTGTTTTTTCATTATTTATTTTTTTGTTTTATTGATTTTTATTGAGCTCTACATTTTTCTCTGCTCCCCTCCCTGCCTCTCCCCTCCCCTTCAACCCTCCTCCGAGGTCCCCATGCTTCCTATTTACTCAGGAGATCTTGTCTTTTTTTACCTCCATGAAGATTAGATCTGTGTATGTCTCTCTTAGTGTCCTCATTGTTGTCTAAGTACTGGTGACTTTCTACTAATAGTTTTAAGAATTCTTTGCTCTTCCCATATATCGTTGGAAGGATTTTTTGGTGTATCAGTACAGAATGTACAGTCTGAGTGAAAACCAAATACATTATCTTTAACATAAGACGTTTGTGAGCTGGTAGTAATGTATACAGATCTACCCAAATAGCCAAATTGCCACCTGAACCCCAGTTCTACTGGAAAACAATAGCTCTGGCTTCCAGGAGCACCTCCTTACACATACACAAACACAAATGCAGACATACACATGGACTTATAAAACTTAAAATGATAAATAGTTTTTAAAACATATTTGAAATTATAATATAGTTACTACTTATCTTTCTTTTCCTCTCCTCTGTCCAACCCTTGTGTCTACCCTCCTTCCTCTCTTTCATATTTATGGCTTCTTTTGTCATTCATTGTCATTGTATGCACATATGTATATGTAAGTGTATTCTTCACCCCTCATGCAGAGAACTTCACTTTGCAATAGATGGAGACCACTACAGACACCCACCGCATATCAAAATGCAGAGTTGTGGAACCCAGTCCCAGTGAATACATTTACAAAGCACTCCCACACTCAAGCCTAAAGGGACACTGCAGAGAGGTACAAAAGATTGCAAGAGCCAGAGGATCAGGGAGTTTGTTGTGAGACCCAGTAACATGGATGAGGAAAAACCCATAAAACTTTAACCACACACAAAGAATTACAGGCAACTAAAGGATGCTGAGAGCTGGAGAAATAATCTTCCCCAGGGAAAAGCACACCAGTTGGTTATCTAATAAATTCTTTTAAGAAGAAGAGGATATGTATTAAATAATTTAAAATAATAATCTTATCTTAGCTCTCAGCTCTTTCAAACTTTTTCTTAATGGAAATGGGGTATTTCACAACCTGCCATGAGATATCACATGACAAAATTTTCTTTACCCACTACATTAAGTTTTTATGTATCCCAACACAATTCCTTCTTCACTAACTGAACTCTTTCTTCTTCTCTTTGAAAATTCTTTCCCAGCTTTAGACTCTCCCTGGGTTTGAAGAAGCCTTCCAGGCATCTACTTTCCTCCCTCGAGTATTTTCAGTTTCAGAGAAACCCTGGTGTCTTCCTCTGCTTCCCCTCTCCCACAAACCCATCAGACAGCTTTTTTTAGCAATGGAGTGAAAAACAGACAAGACAAAAGTGACTTTTTGATTACTGGGATGAATGATCTTTATTAAACAACCTGTGTTCTCAAGGACCAATCCAGTACTCATGTGCATCAAGGGAGCATAGGGGACACACAGAATTGCTGGACATCTAGAGAGAGGGCTCAGTGATACTTGTGGGACAGAGCATTGGCCACCCCAGCCACCACCTTCTGCCAGGCAGCCTGCACCTCGGGCGTGAATTCCTTGCTGAAGTGACTGGCCAAAACGATCACCAGCACATTACCCAGGAGCTGTTCAAGGAAAGACAAAATAAACAGATTGGTGCATTAAATGCAGGCTCAGAAAAAAAAAATACAAGGAAAACAAAAATTATTTTGAGCCTATACTCTAACACATCTGGTATCAAACTCCGATGATGATGGTTCAGTCATCTCTGATAAGCATAGGTTCAATTTTGCTATTGTCTTGGCACTCAGCACTTCTCTGCCTGATTTCTCACACTTCCTCCTCTTTCCATTATATTCATTTGCCTTTATTGCTACTTTTCCCATTCACCAATTGTCTATTATTTGTAAATACAGAATTTCTGTGCTGCAAGTGCTCTTGGTGGAGTTTTAAAACCATCACCGATGCAGGAACAAGCCTCCACTTGTTGCAATGCTCACTTTGGAACTGAACACATTTTTATAATTTTGATAAAGAAATTCCAACTTTAAATTGCACCCCAAATATTTTCTTCAACATCAATTATTAGTATCTACAGAAGTTAAGCTATTTTCCTCTCCAGATTCCATTTCTTCTTGCACAGATCAGTTATTCTTTCCCGTTTCTCTCCATGATAAGTACAACATAATTCTGTCATGACAAAATTTTCTAAATGCCTGTAAACTCATTCAAGCTTCTTACAGCCATTCATTATCATCCCGCCTGGACCAGTGAACTTTGAAATCTGTGTTGGCATCACCATCACTCATATTCTCGGCCTCCAATTTTGTCCCCAAGACAAATGCAAAATAAAGTAGTGAGCTTGCTCTGAACTCACCTTGAAGTTCTCAGGATCCACATGTAGCTTGTCACAGTGAAGTTCGCTGAGTTTAGCCAAGGCAGACTTGAGGTTGTCTAGGTTCTTAATGGCTTCTCCAAGAGAAGTCAGCACCTTCTTGCCGTGGGCTTTGACCCTCGGGTTGCCCATTATGGCAGAGGCAGAGGACAAGTTCCCAAAGCTGTCAAAGAACCTCTGAGTCCATGGGTATACAACGAGAAGCCTGTGAAATAGGTGAGAGATATGGAAAAATCAGGGATACTCAGAATTCTTGACTTTCCTGGCTAGTTGTCCAAAGTACTATTCACCCTTCTCCCAGATGAATCGGCAACCAAGTCTTACCGTCCCAGGGCTTCACCACCAATATCTTCCACGTTCACCTTACTCCACAGGCCATTGACCAGAGCCTTTTCCTCAGCAGTGAAGTTCACCATGATGTCAGGTCTGCGAGCTTGCTGCTGATCACAGGAGTGTCAGAAGCAGGTATGTGCTGCTGCTGGAAGTGGTAGCCTTTTATTCTTCACGGTCGATGTTGTGGCCCTTTGTTCCGTACAATTCTTTAAAGCTATTGGTCAGCCTGACCTGTGGTCCTCATGGGTGGAGCCAGGTTATGGGAGGGCCAGCAGTAACTGTACACTGACTTTATGATAATACAGTTTAGATATGGGGCCATTCTTTCTTTTTTGGCCCCTCCTTTAACAAAAACTTTTTATTCATTGTCTTTTCATTCACCTCTCTTCCCATGTAAACTTCCAAGATAATACTCATCTCTTTCCTCACATTTCCATCAAATCCACAGAGAGGAGCTTAACCCACTATAGGAAAAAAAAATTCATGTCTAAAGTAATGATGATAAGAACAAACTCAAGAAAAAAGAAGTTTGTGCTTTGGATACAGAATTACATTTAATTCTTCTCTTGGGATATGTGGATTAAAACTACATCTTCTAGATATGTATTGTCCCAAGTGGACAAGAATCATATTTGGTTGCCTCTGTCAGATGAATACAGTAGCAAAGGATTGACAGTGGGACCAAAGATTCAATTCCAAAATACACCAAGAAGTGATGCCATGAAGAAGATGGGTACCAAGCTCACCTTTTGGGTTTCTAGAGTCCTCTGACTGACCTCTGTGGCCCTTGGCTCCTTTGTGAATATTGCCCTGGACTCTTTTATTGGTTATTTTCATATAGACAGTTCTCATCTGCGGGATGGAGCTAAAATTACTTTAAAGTAGGCCATATGATCCAGCTAAGGAACTGACACATCAGTCACCTGGAGAGACGTTTGGGGATGCTCAGCTTTTGTTGTAGCTGAAGGTTATAATCTCCAGAGCCCTTGATATATACTCATGTCTTGGAGTCACTTGTTAGTTGTTACAAATTGGGGCTGAAGTTAGAAGTCTACATTTGTGAGTGTTTAATTTCACCCATGTGCATAAAGGATAGTCTCTACACCACCCTGTTTAACCTTCATCTGGCAATATAATTGTTGTTACCCACCTTTTATTTAAACAAAGAAATGAAATCACAAAGGTGACATAACTGTAAAGTGAGAGAGCTGATGACTGAGGGAAGGATGCAGATGTGTGCACAGTTTAGCTTTCCTAGCTACAGAAAAGGTCACCTACATAATCTAGTTGCCCTTCCAAGTCCCTGACTCTGGTCTGTTCTGCATATGTTCTATCCTTTACCTCCTTTGCTGCTCCCTGTGTTTCTAATAGCCCTATGAGTTTCTCTTCCAGAAGATTTCATTTTCTTAAGTTTAGTTCTAATCTTTATATAGCAATGTGTCTTCTATGTCTCCAGTTCTTATATTCCAGGTTTAGCCAGGGGCTTTTCTCTATAACCTTTGATTTGCCTTGGCTTTTATGATGACTCTTTATGTGTATAACACAGCCGTTTCTGACACATGAGCATGCCTCTCTTTTTTGCCTCCTATGATTGCAGAAGCTGTTATCTAACTTACAGTCTTCCCAAATTTGCATCATTACAAGCCATTGAATCCCTGCCCCACTTTCAGTTTTTACTCTACATTGTTTTCTGGGTACAGATTCTAAGCAATATATGGCCAATATAAATGTGAACTTACCTTTTTATGACAGAGACCAATTTGACAAGCTGTTAGCTACTAAATAGTGTACATAAAATTGTATACATAAGATTGCCAAGAATATCCATGTAGTTGCCATACACGTGTTGAAATAGCTACCTTTGGTATAATATTGCATGTACTTCCTCAATAACACATTAGATATAGTGGTTGATCCATAGCGACCATAATATTCACTTCATAAAGGTTAATGGTAAGAATATCTGTAATAACTATAGTATGGCATTAAAAAATGCTCTGTGGGTCCAATTTAAGTTTTTGTCTAGAAGAGACAACCTAGAAAATAGAACTCTGGGTTGAGAAAGATGTTTCATTATTTAAGAATAAGACTCAATAGACAATAAAAATAGCTGTATGACAAACTGAGTTACACACCAAGACCTTGTCTCAAAAAACCAAGATGAAGGCTCAACCAAAACAGTATTTGCCTAGCTTGTACAAAGTCCAGGAATTAGATTCACTCCTAAGCACCGCCCACAAGTTTTTAAAGAAAGAATCAAATAGTGTGCCAATTTTATATACTATTAGTATGGGACATTGAACAGTGCATTGTTTGTATTAAATAACCCCTTTGGTGTATGTTTATTTAGTGTTGCCCAAGAAAAAGTCTTCTTCACCATAAATAGTTTTACAAATTATATATATACAGTTTCTGAGAAGGAAAAAATTGTTCCCAATTCTTACTGAAAGAAATGGTCACTTGTTTTGCTTGCATTGCATGTTTACATTCATATCCTTCTAACAGCAATAAACGAGATAAAATATCTCCACTAAGTGTTGCATTCGCCAGGAATGTCTTACTGACTGTGTCAAAGTGGCATCCCTGCAGAAAGCCTCTAAACTAGAGAATAAGGAACAAGCCATGGACAGTGTCAGGCATGCTTAGGGAGAACTGCCTCTCATTCTGAGTGGCTCCCTGCTGCTTGACAGACCTCATGGAGGCTACCCTGAGCAAACCAGGCAGAGATGTGTGCATAGCTTTTATTTACCCAGAGAGGTTTGGACTAGGAAAGGCAAAATAGAAAGCTGCAGCCAGCCAGTTGGTCTCTGTTTTCTTTAGCTATGGAACTTGAAGTTTATACTTGAACCTGGTAATCTAGAAAAGTCATAAATGCCCTATTTTATTCTGAGCTGTCACTTTGTTTTCTTGGTTTCTTTACCATACTTTTATTGTTGTTATTTGTTTGTTTGTTTTTTAACTTGAGTCCATGAGTAAATTAAGTTGCAATGTTGTCTATTTTTAGGATTCAGATTCTGGAGAACTTTGTGTGTGTGTGTGTGTGTGTTGAATAATCACTTCATGTATTCCATAAACCAAGATCAGCCTACCAAAACACTCTGACATAGTCAAAAATACTTTTGCTCTTATTAAGGGTGGGTGCTTTTTGTTTTCAATTTTCCCTTCCAGCTAACACCACAACCTTAGGGAATGGCCCAACTTCATTATTTTTAGCCAGTTAATTAAGTCATTTAATAACTGGTGAACTTTATTGAACTTAGACATACATTTGAATAATTTCTAAATAAAACTGGCTCAAAAGTTATGCAGAAGTTAAAATTCTATGGCTGCATCTGTTGGAAATGACCCTACTGTGTGCTTAGGGTCTATCTGTACTTCTAACTGGCAAGGTGAATTTCTATTAGTAATTTTTGAAATCTAAGAAAAATGAAAAATTACAATATCTTGCCTGCATATTCCTCTTCAAGATTTGTATTGTCCTATGCGGAAGTTTTAGCTTAGGGTAATTCCTAAATTGCAAACTCGCATCTCTTTGGAAAAATATAAAGGTATGAGAGTTAGCGAAGTAAGCAGAAACTAAATGACAGCCACCCTGACAAAGTCCAGACCCCATTGCTTAGCAAGGTCATCCCAGTGGGGACTATGAGAAACAACCCTGTGCTTGCTGTTCCTGGATTTTAATGATTGTTCTTGCCCCAAAATTCATAGCTCAGAGGAATTATTCTGAACATAAGTCTTCTCCACCTCTGGGCTGTTGAGTCTGAGGTAGCTGAACTTTTATTTTCCAGAGTCCTAGATCCAGGTGTTGAGAGAACACTTCCCTGCACTCCAGCCTCACAGGCCTGTGGTGTGGTTTCTCACAAAACCTATTTCCTTCCCTCCATCTTCCTTTTATTTTTCCTTTTATTCTTGGCCATCTGTCTAGGGACTTGGGGCTTTTTTTAATTTTATTTTAAGAGAAGTCAAAGGAGCTGCTGTTTTCTTCTCCTGGGACTTGGGATGGTGACAACTAGGTGCGGTCAGAGACTGTGGGGACAGATAAGGACCAGAGGAGCAGAGCTGAGTCAAGGTCGGGGCTTCGCTGAAGTGGTGAGATTCGAAGTGTTCAGGCTCCTGCCTTCTATGTCCCATCACTGTTCCTTCATGAATAGATAGGAGGAATGGGCTATGGGATAGTGTTCAAGGATCTGGTTTGGGAAAGCCTAATAAATATGTTTAGAATTTTACATTCATAAGTATATACAGATTGCTACTAATGTGTGGCTATTATCAAAATTTACAAGGAAACCATGACTATCTATATATAGCTTACGGAGCCCACAGAGGCAAAGAAATAAGTTGCATTCTCGAAATTCCACTGAGATACCATATTCTTTTCAGAGACAAAACAAAATCCCAAATGATCAAAAGAGGGACTCAAATGTTATAAAGGAGCTGGAACGACCCCAAGGCCAGAGACTTTTAACTGTAATCTCATTGATTTTTTTTTATCTATTTATTAAAAATTTCCACCTCCTCTCATCCTCCCATTTCCTTTTCCTTCCTTCCTCCTCCTCCCCTCCCTCTCCAGTCCTAAGTGAAATCAGGGTGCTCTGCCCTGTGGGAAGTCCAAATTTCTTATATATAATTGAATATTTCATAATTAAGAAACTAGCCCAGGAGGAAACTGTAGGCAAAAAAAGGTTTCCTGTTGGCTACTCTAGCAATGCTTTGAACCTCACATGGTTTCTCCAGGCCATTGCTCTCCTTTACCTGTGGGAATGAACAAAAGCCACTCCTGAGCTGTTGGCATAGTATAATGGTCTCAACGGCATAACTACAGCATGGCTGCCATGTGTGTACACACTTGTGCTCATGCTAATGCATGTTCATGTCTAAGTGGGAGTATGGATTAGTATCAAGATTTTGAGGCTGAATAAGCAAGAAGTAACTTTGTGCTGACCTCCATCCATGCCTGTAGTCATTGCAATCATGACCTCAGAACTGCCTTGACAGGTATATTGGATGGGTAATTAGAGAAACTAGAAGCCATTTTTGGAACTTGGGTGAACAGCAATCTTTCAGTGAAAACAATGTTAGGCAA